CACACACACACACACACACACACACACACACACACACACACACACACATATATATATATATATATATTATATATATATATATATATATGTATATAAATTTCTGGAACCATGGTATCTAGTATATTTTTTTCATAGCTTCCAGACAGTCCAATGATACTTAAATCAACTCTCTTTGATCTGTTTTTTTTTGCTTTTAGATATCAGTTTTTCTTTTAGATAGACTGTGTATTTTTAATTTTAAAAATCATTTGATCTTGTTTTTATATTTCTTGTTATCTCATGGAATCATTATCTTTTTTTTGTCTATTCAAATTTCCAAGGAGTTTTGGTTTTTTTTTCTTTTTTCTAGGGCAAAATTTTTCTGTTTGAAGTTGCTAATTATATTTCCAAGTCTTTCTTCTATAGCTCATATTTCTTTTTCATTTTTTCCTTTAGTGTTCACATTACATTTATTAAAAAAATAATACTCTTGCTTCATTTCTTCCAGTAATTCCATTTGAATTTATTTCTACACTGCCTTTACTTTGAGACTTTGCCTAAAGATGGTTTGGAGTCATTCATTCCGTGTTTGTGTTTTGACTATCCCTGTCACTATAATAGACTTTTATGTTGTGATTCTTTTATTGCTTGCTCATTCTTGCAGCCTACTTTCTGATCTCATACTACATCATAGGGCTAGGCTCTGTGCACTTTTAGATGGAATATATGTTCTAGTCTTGCTGCTCCTTATTTGAGGTATTGAGTCTTCTATTATTCTGGGATCACTGAGATAGCTCCAAGTGGGACCTACAGTTTTTCAATGCTCTCTATGTGGTTTGATCCAAGGGAAAGTGTGATCTCTGCCCTCCTGATTTGAGCTCTATAAGTAACTTCATTTTAAATCTGAGCAAGCTGCCCATGTGATTATCCCATTCAGAGCTCTAAAAGACTGCTGTTGGACCCACCCACTCTTATGCTGCTTGAAAGTTCTGATGGTCACAGCATATAACTGCAGGCTGCTCTTGGATCTGGGGTTCCTGTTCTGCTTGTTTCACAACTTAAACTGAAATGGAGGCTGGACCTATGACCTCCATTCCACTGCTGGAATGAAATTCCCACAGCTGCTGCTGGATTCTCAATTTGATTTTAACTTGATACACAGCTTGGGACCTATGGCCATTTTTCATTCTGGAATACTTCTAGTGTAGGACTCATCTCCAGTCTGCCCTAGATCTGTGACTAGAACTGGGTAGAGAGTGACAGTGCTTCTGGGTAACACTTGTTCCTGTGAGCTACACAAGATTCAGGTCCCTCTGTTTGGAATATACTGTCAAATGATGAAATAACAAATATGGAAGATTCAAAGTACAAAATTTAGTGTGTCATTTAGGTGATGTTAATGTCAAACTATAGATAAAAGTAGAGGCTCAAACTAAATTTATCCTACTCAATACCTGACCAGCTTTACCAGTCATGGCTGCAAAACTTATTTATTACCAGTTTTAGAAAAAGACTACCCACAATGAAGTGCTGAAGCCCAGTTGTTCAAACACCAAGGCAAAGCTTACTTAAGTTGGACAGCTCCAGTAGAGGCCTGCAGTCTTTCAGTGCTCGCAAAATAGAGTGATCTAGGAGAGAGTCTCATCCAGGGGAAAGTCTGGTCCTGCCCTCCTAATCTGAGGGCTGCAAGTAATTGACTTAAGTTTAAATCTGAGTTAAATGCCTGTGTGGTTATCCCATTTAGAATTCTATAAGACTGCTGCTGGACTGACTCACTGATTATTATCCAGCTATAAAGCTCTGATCGTTCCTCAGTGGCTGCTGTGTGGTAAGGCAATCAAAAGCCAAGAAGATAAAGTGATGCTCAAAAACGCTTCATGCGATATCCCGGAGCCATTATTTACTGAAAAGCATTCTTTTTGATGGACAGAACCAAGTGTATTATAACTTACAAACATATTGTGGCATTTAGAGCAGATGTTCAGAGGAAGTTTTCCCTATAGTACTAATCTGTTATCCCTCATGAGGTAACTTGAGGTAACTTTGGGCTACAGGTAACTATGCCAGTGAAAAGCTAGCTGTAGCAGAATGCTTTAAGTTGAAAAAAAAAATTGAGCACATACATGCTTATGAGCTTTGTGTCTGCTGTTTGAGAATCAGCTTAGCTAAATTCTAAAAGGCTTATGACCAGTTTGGTATCACCAATAGGATGATGCATTTTTCAGCCACAACAAATAAAAAATATCATCTACCACAACACTGGGTGTAACATCTCTGAGTAGTTAATAAACACACTAATAAATTCATATATCTTTGAAGTATTTTAGTGAGACACTTCATGATATATGTTGTCAACCTCCAAATTTAAAAATGAAAAAACAGGAGAATTAGATTATGTGCAGGTTTATTTCTCTCAAGCAGGTGGGCATGCATGCAGGGCTACAGTCAGAACTGAGCTCATTTTGAGGTTAGGCTGCACAGGTTATAAAGCCATGAAGCAAGGAAGTGCCCCTGACTCCAGATGTCTGTGTAAGCTTAATCTGGTCTTGTGACTGCTGACATAGCAGGAGGAATTTGGGTTCATTTAGGGAGCACTGCAAAAGATTATTGGTATGTCAGTCCAGATGGGCTCAAATTGGGGGAGCTAGGTGGCGCAGTGGATAGAGCACTGGCCTTTCAGTCAGGAGGGCCTGAGTTCAAATCCAGCCTCAGACACATAACACTTACTAGCTGTGAGACTTGGGGCAGTCACTTAACCCCAACTGCCTCACCAAAAACAAACAAACAAACCAGAAGGGCTCAAATTTTCTTCTGCAATTGGCCAGTCCAGTTTTTCAGCTTTCTTTGGGTGATGAGAGGCTTAAGCGGATCTCTCAAGGTTGAGCTATACACAAACTCATTAGACATTACTCTCCCTCCAACTGGTGGACCAGAGGATGGAGCACTGGGCCTGGAGTCAGAAAGATCCGAGTCCAAATAGGGTCTCAGATACTTATTAGCTGTGTCACTTTCAGAAAGTGAATTAACCTCTTTGTATCATTTTCTTCAACTATAAAATGAGCATACCAATAGAACTTATCTCCCAAGGTTCTTGTGAGGCTTGAACATTTTAAAAAAGTGCTTAGTGCAATGTCTCACACAAAGTAAGCACTTAATAAATGTTTTCTTCCTTGTTCCCTCACTTCTTTCATCTCTTCCTCCCTCCCTTTTTTCTTTCCTTCCTTCCCTCCCTTCTACTTCTCTCTCCCTCCATCCTTCCTTAGTTCCTTCTTTCTCCACACTTAAGTCTATGCAGACAAGACTTCTGTTTCTTAAGCACAAGACTCCATTTCTTGCCTCCCTACCTTTGCATCTGTTTTTCTGCATGCTTTGAATGAGCTCTGTCTTTATGACTTTCTCCTTCAAACCCAAATCAAACACTGCCTTCAGTAGGAAACCTTTTTTCGTTGCCCCCAGGAGTTAGTATCTTCCATTCCAAACTTCCTTGTTCTTATCTACTTTTCATTTACCGTATTAATTCACTTAACATTTTTTCCAGTACATTCTTACATATGCTATCGTTGTCTTCTCTGGTGGAATATAATCTTCTTGAGAATAGAAATTGATTAGTTCTTTGAATTTGCATGGCCAGGAGGCACCACAATATCTGGCATACAGTATGCAGTTAATAAAATTGTACTGCTTGGCTAATTTTTTGAGCTTCCTTCAGTCTTACTGTTTATTTGACAAAATAAACCCCCAAACTTAAAATATCTAACATTACTTGATACTAAGCCAATTTCCCTGACCAATTAAGCATGAATTAAGTAAGTCACTTCAAAAGGATATGCCCCATATGTGTGAACACTGAAGCATATAACCAGTAAGGACCTTCTCTAAAGAAAAAGACTAAAAGATAACATCAAGGAGATGTAGCATAGCAAGATAAATATACACTGATGATGTGGAGAGAGTTAGAGATAATAAGGAAACAACAAAGTAATCTACTGGTATATTTGTGAAGTTAAGCAAAAGAACAGATAGACCCTGCTGTATTGACTGGACCTTCTGTGGTGAGCTTATGGGAAGAGACAGACAAGATGTATCAGGCATGGATGAGGTCTGATCTGCCTTTAAAGGAACATACAGATCTATGCAACCACAGATTTATCTGTATATTAGGATACAGATTATTGTTTCCTCTGTGGTCCCTCTGATCACTCATTGCTTCTGTTGAAAAATATGTAATAAACTTTAAAATATATCTTTATGTATTATTATCATTTAACAAATCAAACTACTTGTATCAGTTTTCTCACTTAAGTTGTTGTATGCCAACATCTTGGAGAATATTCTGATGAGAGTACAATAAAAGAAATCTTCCTTGTTAACGTTTAAAAAATTCTTCAGATGCTCATATTCATTCTTGACAATTTATGTATTACATTGAGCATAGGGACACTTTGAGGTTCCTGAGTACATTTTCTCTAACCAATTAGTTCTTTTAAATTACATTTTACATAGAATGCAACACATACACACACACACACACACACACAAACACACACACACATATCCATATGCATATATATATACACTTACACATATGTATATGTACATATGTATGTATGTATGTATGTATGTATGTATGTATGTATGTATGTGTACTGGCACTGAGAGCAAATAGTGAGTTGGGCCAAATAGTAAAGGAATGCAGCCTGGATCACTTTGGTGCTTTTAATAATCCCAAGCTGCATGATGCCATCTCTTGGAGAAGCAACATGGCTGTGAAATGATCTTAGAAAATCAGCATTGCCTGTGCCTTACATATCAAAGAAAAGATGCATAGTATAATATTATCAAAGATGATTTGTGGCCAGCCAACGACATGAATAATGCTACAGGACCCATTAGACAACAACAACAAAAAAAATACAATAGTTCAGTTATGTTGAAAGAGTTAAAGGGAACAAAAACATTTATGGATTTATAACTAGAAGGGAATTGAAAAGGCCTTCTAATCTAGTTCCCTTATTTTACAGATGAAGAAATTGAGACTCAGATTAAATGGCTTAACTCAATATCTCACAGGGTACAAGGGGCATTTGAACTCCCTCCTCTTCATCATGTCTGGCTTGCCTCAGGTAATTACACTATACCATATTCCTTCTTCCCCCTTTAATCCAATATCCCAGTATCTCCAGCTGCCACCCTAAAGTTGTATAGACTAATGAGAGCAAAGTACATATAGCTGGCACCAGCCACTACATCATGGCAACTTCCTGCCATGTACCTTGCCCCCCCACTGTTGCTTTTGGCACAATAAGCAAATCAATCATTGCTTCTGGAAAGGGTATATCATGAATCCACCATTCTTCTATGCATATTGTCTCCCCAAATTTTAGAGTGTAAATTCATTGAGAACAGAGTCTTTCTGCTTCTTCTTCCTCCTCTTCTTCTTCCTCCTCTTCTTCTTCATCTTCTTCTCCTCCTCCTCCTCCTCCTTCTCCTTCTTCTCCTCCTCCTCCTTCTTCTCCTCCTCATCCTCCTTCTTCCTTCTCTCTCTATTTCTCTCCCTCCCTCCCCATCTCTCTGTGTCTGTCTCTATTTCTTTTTCTCATTCATTAACCACTGTCTATGGGTAGCCTAAGTGTTGCAATATATTGGGTAAATCCTCTTTGGAAAATTTATGAGAAGTCATGGATTTGAAGGGAAAACGTTGAGCTGAAATGTTGGAGATTATCTACCAATCGATGCATTGAAGTACTGAAATATAAATTAGTTGACTTAGTGGTATAAATAGTTTAATTAGACATCTATAGTAAAAAATAAATATCTAAAACTGGTATGTTAATTGTGTTTTTAATTATACATATATATGCATAATATATATGATTTAGATATGAAAACTTACCCAAGATTTCATTGAATCCTAAACTGGAAGAGACCTGAGAGATTACATAATCCAAATCTGTCATTTTATTTATGAGATTACTGAACAAAGATAATTTATGTAATTGTCTCTAAAATTGGGTAAACATTATGGAGTAGAGCCAGGAATTCCTATAAAATTGATATTGAAGCAGTTTGTGTTAATAATGCAAGTAATAAATAAAATATTCCTAAATTTTTGCATTAGGAAGAGCTTTACACATAAATTTCTTAATGATACTTTTCTGTCATTTTTTTTCCTGGTTGATGGATAACATGATAAAATAATCTCAAAGAATTGATCATGCCCGATTCTTTCTTCTTTCCTAGTCCTGTGGAGTGCATTTTGTGTTTTAATACTTTGTTAATACTAATTCTTCTCATTTTGAACAATATCTCTCCATTTTAACAAGTGATTTTTTTTTGGTGGGGGGAAGGTGAAATGAATTAAACTAATTTCATTAAAAGTTAAGACAAAAAATTTCAAAATGCATAATGTTTCCACTATGAATATGGGATTTATATTGTTTATGCTTATGGCATTGGCAAACAGTCTTTTGAAATATTTCATTATCATTTTACATGCCTATAATTTTAACATATGAATTATAATCAGGCAATATAATAGAATAAATTGGGAAATAACTGTCTTTAGCATAAAAATTTTGTATAATAATATCAAAATATGTCAGAAGATATTCTTTTTAACTCTAATGATTGTTCTCTGACAAAGAACACACTGGAATTTTTAAAAATATGAACTATTTATATTATTTTGAATTTTTCTTTGCTCATTATTGTGATATGTTTAGAAATTCAGCTAAATTGACACTGATATGATATATTTTAAAAACAGACTGAAAAAAAAAAGAGCTCTAAGAGCAAGCCCATAAATGCTGACAAAGGTTTTGCAGGTTTCGGAGAGAAATGATAGCCCTGGAACAGGTGGATAATGCTGAGGTTTCCCAGACAGCTGGTGGTACTGAAGTGGGAGCCAAGATGAGTCCATTTATATCTCATGGCTTCAAATTTAATGAGAAGACACTATCCAGATTTTGGCTTGAATTTTATTTTTCTATTCAGTTTGGCACACAAGAATATTTAACTCCTCTATTAGATTTTACAGATCCCCCAAATGAGAGGAAGATTACCTTCTACTTTATGAAAGAACTCAAATTTAAATAAATTTACCAGCACTAAAGAAAAAAAAAATGACACTACTGTTTTCAGCATATGGGGACAATTTGTCACTTTTTCCCAATGAATGCTTTAATCTCATTTTCTTTTACCAGAATGTTATGTAGTTTATTGTATATGGTATCTGACAGTTTCATGTATTTTTAACAATTATACATATATGTGCCATAAACAACATATCCACATCATCAAAATATCAACTCAGTTCAGTGTGATATGCAAAATAGTGCTCTATTTTATTTAAATTTCAGCTAACATTTTAGAGCTGATTCAGATCACATGAAGACAGATTGAAACAATAGCCACTCCATAAAATTATCATCACTAAAAATTACATGCATTTTTCTAATAGAATTAAAAGCTGTGTTCTGTAGCAGAAAGAACATTGAGAAGTGAGTCAGCATATTTTAGTTCACCTACCTATTCCTTCCAATGTGAACTTAGACAATTGCCTAACCTTTTAAGTGTAATTTTATTTACCTGTTACATGAGGAGGTTCTGTGAGACTATTTTCTATGAAATTCAAAGGTTCAAGCATTTTTCAGGCCCCATTCGCTGTGTCTATAAACAACAAAAAAGGGAAGGAAGGTGAAATTATATTATGTTATATTATTCTTGTTTAAATGATTTCTGAAAAGGAACTCTGAAATTTGTCATCATAGAAAGAGGTAGTTGCCCAATATATAAACTGTAATTTTATGTTTTTTTTTAATACACTGAATTTTTTCCCCACCAGGAAGCCACTTTTTTTCTTTGTAGTGAAATATTCTCACAACTTAGCAGACACTCAAAATTTTATTGATAATGATAACTGATGATGAAAGTGGAGGTGTTGATAACGCACCATTGCTGTTCATCTTTTATTTTTAAAGAGGATCAGTGACACCATGGGGAGATGTCTTGACTTGTATACATTGGATTCAAGTGAGAAAGAATTGCACAAATTTGTCATCAACACCCCATACACCCCACTAATGAACTAGGTAATGCACAAGAATTTGACTAAAATATATTCTGGGATCTAGGTTATGAAAATGCTTTATAGGTTAATTTACACTTTAACTGAGATAGGGCATCTTACTGTATGGAATGAAGCATTGAAACTTAAAGAGAATAAATATCTCCCCCTATGAACTTCTACAACAGAGTAGAATTGACTTATAACTAATTTAACCTCTCCTCTTAACTTTGGTGAATCACTTCTTGTGGCATTTTCACATAACAAATTACAATATTGATTTAAGGACCCCATTTGTGTTATTTTCTAAGACCCAGTTCTTTGTTGTTTGTCCCCAGGTACCAACATCATCTGTTATAATGTCATTGGTAACATTATCATAAAAGAAAGTTAAATATATATATATATAATATATATATATATATATATATATATAGACACATATGTCTATATATATATATGTATATATAATATATATATAACAATTTATAAATATTCTTTAATGGAAACCAAGATGAACTTCCCTTTCACTAAGTTCTAGTGTACTTACACAGCAATTAATATGAATAAGTAATACATAACAAATCATAGTAAGTTTGTTTCTAATTATAATGTCCATCAAGTATTTCTGTGCAGTATACTGCTAACCATAAGAGTACCAGTAAAAAATAAAATCAGTCAATCAGTAAACATTTATTAAGTACCTATTATGGGCCTGGCAATCACTGAGATAAGTGCCTAAATATTTGACTTTAATTCTTTTGCTTCTGATAAAAATTCAGTTTATTGAAATGTATTGTTTACTATATATCTAAGGATCTGTTCTACTCGCTAAGAATTCAATGACAAAAAAGAATCGGACTTGATCACAGGGAGGTTATAGCCTTTTAGTTATGTTAGTGGTATTTTATTGAGGGGGGTATGCTATGACAAATACACATATTGGGATGATATAAAATATGGTGGTTGCAAAAGAAAGGTCCAGACAAAAAGCAGCAGGAAAATTTAAGGAAAGAGAACAGTTAGAGTTGGTAACAATCAAAGAAGGCTTCATGGAGGATATAACAGCTAAGTTGACAGCTTGAATTAAAGAAATATAAAACAGAGATCTGAGGAGCAGTTATATCACATGTATGGAATGTGGGATGTCCAATTTGTAGAAGAGCCATTAGTACGATTTGACAACAACATGAGAGTTTATTGAGAGAAGTTATGTTGTATAAAGATTAACAATGCAATTTGGAGCCTGAAAGCATTAAATGATAAGGCAAGAACTTCATGTATTATCTTAGATGAAATAAGAAGTAAGGAGATTTTTACCAAAAGCCATAGATTTATCTATTTATTATAACATTCATTTTAAAAAAATTAGTTCAAAATTTTCTTCCTCCTTTCATCCTCTCTTTTAGCCATTGAGCAGGTAAGCAATATGGCACTAATTATACATGTAAAGACATAGAAAACAAATTTCCATAATAGCCATGTTGCTAAAAATAAATAAAAAGAAAAAAAATTTAGAAAATTAAAAAAAAATTGTGCTTCAATTTATACTCAAAGATAATCAGAAATATATCTTTGAAAATAGATAACATTTTTATTGTGTGTCCTTGGGGATTTTCTTGGATCGTTGTCTTGAGCAGAGTAGCTAAGTCTTTCACAATTTAACACTGTTGTAACATTGCTACTACCGTTTAGAATGTTCTCCTGGTTCACTTCACATTGAATCAGTTCATATGTCTTCCCAGGTTTTTCTAAAACCGTCATGGTCATCATTTCTTATAGCAGTAGTATTCCATTACAATTATATATCACAACTGGTTCAGCTATTCCCCAATTAAAGGGGATCCTTTCAATTTCCTTTTCATTTCCAACATAAAAATAGTTGCTTTAATTATTTATTAATGAATAGGCCCTTTTCTCCTTTTTAGGATCTCTTTGGGATACAAACCTAGTAGTGTTATTGTTGGATCAAAGGATAAGTACAATTTTATAGACCTTTAGGCACAGTTCCAAATTGTTCTCCAGAATAGTTAGACTACTTCACAACTGCATCAACAA